GAAAGAGTGGAACTCGTTTTGCTGATAAGAAATTGCTTTTTGAAACAGAAGTAGCCCCTCCTCCCCGCACACATTCTCTGTGGTCATGTCTCAATTTCCCTGTTGCTAAAGTCCATCCTGTCAATTCCTTTCTTGTTGACTTTGGCAGCAAGTTCCTCCAAATCAAGTAAGCGGCGACAAATTCCTGCTCTAAAAAAGTAAGATCCCTCTGGGAAAGTTGAGCATAGCCATTGAAATGTTCCACGAGAAAAAACAGCATGTCACATCCATAGTTTCCTTGTCAAAGATTTTGAAAACTTCCACAACTTGACAAAGTAAATGTAAATTGTCAGTACGCAAAGGCAATGTAATTCAAACCTGGGGAATTGTCTCTTTTTCCCCACTGATGCCACTTTTCTCGTTCCTTTTTCTTTTCTCTTTCTCTGTGAGATAATGTCCAAAAAAGACTTGGTTCTAGGAAGGCACAATGGCTATACAAGTAGCATATAGATTATTCATGAGGTCATATATTATCAGCTTCAAACAGCCCAGGCATAAGGGCTAAGACCACTGAGTGAATTATGACCCTGTCCAACACAGGAACAGGAAGATCTCACTGGCACAGAGCAATAGCATAGTTCTGCGGTCTCCAGCTATTTATCAGCACACCCATCAGGCTGCATAACCACTGTAAATGCAGCTCGTAGCCAGACACTGTATTTCCAGAGCTGAAATAAAATAAACGAAGCCATTCTGAGTAAGAAATGAGAGCATTCAACCGGCTTTATTTTAACCCACGCTATATTTCCAACTGTGCAAGCCTGCATAAAGAATTTACGTCTTGTTTTCAGAAACTCTCTCCATCTCAGCCTTTGAAGGGTCAGATGCCTTACTGTTGAGATTTCAGTAGGATTAGGAGCTCAATCCAAAAGGCAGTGAAACATGATCCGGTGGAGCATTGCAATATCTATCTTCCAGCTGAACCCAGACCTTCCTCTTGGGCACCTGGGCTCAGTACCCTACAGGAGGAGAGTGAGGTGCCTTGGCACACGACACAAAACAATCCTTCTTCTGAGCAAGAAACCACTTCAAGTCAGGTAATTGGGAAAGTGCCTACAACTTGCTCGAAAAGCTGAGGATGGGAGTGTTTGCAGCCATGACACACTTCAGAGGCATAGAGTTGGGGCATACAAACAAGTCCCTGCACGTCCTACAAAATCCAGAAAAGTCTGCATAGATGGCAGAAAAAAAATCTTTATAGGGACTGTAATGTGTGAAGCAGATTTTCATAGGCAAATAGACTTTTGCGTGGCAAGATTTTGTTACTACACAATAATGAAACTCACTTCAGTTTAGTTGGTGGAACCAAAACCACGTTAGGAACTGAACTAGATTCTAAGAGAAGGTCACCAATGAATGTAATTTCATAGATTTGAATGAATTTGGTCCTAGTATCAACAGAGCTGCAATACAGTTTTAGGGCATACTTTCCTTATAGTTTGGCCCTGTTTAACAGAGCAAAAGAACATTCTTATCAAGCTGAGGCTAGAACATGACCTTCTTGCAATTAATCTAGCTGTATAGCTTGGACTGTCATCATACCAAAAAAACAAAAGCAAACCAGAATTTTCCTCCTCCATGAAACGGGTAAAGGCTAAAACATTGACATAATTCAAGTTCACTTTAGGAAATCAAAGATTAGAGCTTGCAGTGAATGCGAGTAATTTATCAAAAAAAAAAAAAACCATTAATCAATCAAAAAAATCAAAAAGTCATTAACTTAGGCCAAACTACACACAGCTCTATTTTAGCATTTTTTCTTACAAGTCAAATCAACAGTGGTGTGAGTCATAAAACTTTTCCCCAGAAAAAGGCAGTAATTCACCCAAAAGTAATAAAATTCAGTCTAGTTCCAGGAAAAAAAAAAATGTTGTCCCGTTTCATCAATCCAAATCTTAAGGGACAGACACCGAATGAGAAAGAGCCTGTACAGGGAAGGCTAAAGGGTTAGAGATGACTCAATATTACACTGCAGCATTGCAAACAGGAAGAGGCTATTTTATAAATCATAGGTCATTTCCATAACCTGAAAGCCGATATGTATACTAACAGGTTATTACAGCAAGGAATCACACACAGGACTTTCCATATTATTAACCCTGAACAGAGCTCAAGTATTGAGCACACTTAAACTCCTCCTGATCCTTCTGTACAGTCTTGTGTGGACTGGAAAACTGTTTTGGAAGAGCCACAGCATATGCTCGTGTCATGAATACACCCCTCTATCTGCTATAACCTCGTCTTATCCTCCTGACCCCGTTTCTCTAATCCTTTAATCATTGTGGTGTTCCTCTGTGTTCTAATATATCAAACACCCTTCTCGTCCTGTGGACATAGTTTTGGAAGCTGGTTCAAAAGGCTTGATCCCTGCAGAAGAAGCGGATGCAAATCCTGCTCTGGTGTGTTTGGTATTCCCTGTGCTTTGTAGGAGAGAGAGACAGAGATTATCTACTGTTGATAGCCATTGTGGAAGATGCCTTGTAAATCTTCAAGCTTTTGCTTGAGCTGGTCACTAGGTTACTCTCTTTTCTGCAAACTGATAGGAATGTTATCTACATCAGTAGATGCTAAGGTCTCATCTGTGCTGTATTTCTGAGATGCTTCCAAAGTGAGAACTGCTGATATCCAGCTTTTTAAATTTAAAGCACTTTATACAGGAATTCAGTTTCGAAAATATAGGCCTTGCCTTTTAAGTAAGTGAAATTACTTCAGAGATTTTCTGACTCACCTCATCTGCTATCTACAGCTGACTACAACCCGATTTGAACTTGAGCCCTTCACTCCAGCTGACTGATAAATCAACCGAAACTAAGGACAGGCATTTCTGAACCTTTGTTCAAAACCTTTAAAAACATCTAAATATTATGTAGGAAAGTCCTCAACAGAACATTAACACAGAATATGAATCACTAAATATTAGAACATGATCAATTTTCCATCATTACTCACTATTACCTTTTACTACGTATTGCTTCCTAACAGATCTTCAGTCAACAACAGCCTGAACCGCTTCTACATGTGCAATTACTCCCATATGGAATTCCACTGATTTCAGAAAAGTTAATGACTCCCTAGTAATTACATGAGTAACTAGCATACTTTATGCCACTGGATATGAAATCAGATCACATAAAATCTGATAAGTACCTCTGGGCCTTTAAAAATGAGGCAGGGTATTACCCAACATCAGTAACACTAGCGTATAGGCACAATGGGCGAGATTTATCTAAGGTAGGTGTGTAGGTTAGAAGTATAATTTTGAGCTAGTTTGGCCTCTGCTTCCTCCATAGTCAACAGAAAGGAACAAGCATCTCAAGAGACAGATTAGTCTCCCTGTAACACAAGCATGAGAACTGAGCTCATTCCGGCATAATAGTTACTCACATAATTAGCTGTTGAAAATAGTGGGACTCCACATGAGAATAATTATACATGCACAAATAATGTTTAGGAGCAGGCTCCTGTATGTATATGTATACTGTTTGGCTATTCTTAGCTGGAAGAACCACAGAAACATAAAGCAAAGTGGGGGGGAAAAAAAAAAAAAGCTCAGATAAATACTGTGTCATATATTTACAATTACTAAATAAAGCTAACTGGAGGATTAGGTAAAAGAGGAAGCACTAGGCCTATTACACTCACTCAGACTATAAAGTAAACTACATTAAAGCCATGTTGAAACACTCCTGCAGCCACCCTCTGCTGGAAGAGGCCCACAAGTACAACAGAAGAGCAGCATCAATTGGAGCAGCCTCCCTAATTTCAAAGCTAGCACAGCTCAATACTTCCTAAATGCATGTGGAAGCACCACGTGGGATTTGGATACACTGAAGAATTGAACCAGAGATGTGAAGTGAGTGGGGGAGAGCCCAGGCAATGGAGGCATCTCACTGCCTGTTGGCATTACGGGGCATTGCACGTGCTCTGGGATAACCCTGCCATTCCCTCATCCACACTGCAGCTGCATCCGGCCCTCCCTGGCACCATCAGGTTTAATTACACTTACGGCCACATCCCCAGGAGATTCTGTGATGTGCGAGAAGATATTAAGAGGAGAATTTATGACTGTGATAACGTGATCCATGTTCTTTCTCTCTGTTGCTCTGCAAACAAAACAGGCTGGCTAGTAAATCATAATCTATGCCTGAATATTGACTCCATAAGCAAGCGCATACATTCATTTTATTAAAAAAAACCCCAAAGTCTTATGTTTCCATCTTGAAAAAAAAATCAAGGCTCCATCTTCAGAATTTAACTGTTTTTTAAAAGACATAACACAAAACCACTTCATGCCTTCGATGCAGAAAAGCAAATGCATTATTTTCAGTGATGCCACAGACTATGTATGAAAATGGATATCTGAGTAGTTAAAACTGTGATATTACAAGAAGGTTGAAGTTACATTTCATCTGTAAGGAAAAAGACTCCTTGTAAGATAACCCTTATTAAAGTAGGAGTGGTAGTCTTGTAGACTTAGTAGTGTATTAAAATGGTGACACCCTATAGATGTATTGCTAATTATTTGAACGTCCTCTTTAAAGTGCTGTCAACTGGTTTTCCAGAGGATAATTTTTAGGCAGAACGCTTTAGGCCAAACATACCAGAAGGAGGGCTGCGTTTGCTCAGCCTGCTGAAAAGTGAGTTTTTTCACTGCTGCATTTCAGCGTTAGTGACTGGTTGATTGCCAGCAATGTTGGGGTCCTGTGTCTTCACTTAACATTTGCAAAATGACATTTTTGTCTTATCAGGTGGCTGAAAATGTAAGTCTCTGCCATCCTAGGGCTACAAAGCAGGAGTGCCTAAGTCAAAATTTTGATACCACGGATTTTAGTGCCACACTCCTAGACAACAGAAAGATCAGCCATCCAAAAGTTAAAGTTGAAATAATTACACACATTATGAATCAAAGAAACCCCACCCAGTGCCTGTTCATCAAAGGCTGCCCCAGCAGAGCTTGGAAAAAGGAGTATCTAAATCTCAGTAAACTGCCACTGATGACCAAGTGTGAAACTAGCTTTGAAATATATGGCCAATTACAATTCTCACAGTCTATGCAGGGAAAAGCAGCCAAGTGAACACTGGGCAAGAATCACTGTCTCCTGGAAAACAGCAAGGGAATGATTCCAAGTGACTGGGCACTACAGAAGAGACAAAGTATTCGGAGGGGATGCATTTTGCCTCTGGACACTAGAGCGATTGCTCTGCTTTGTATTTGTTTCTTTAAATGAGGTATTTGAAACAAATGGCTGAAGAGGTCTATTTAACCCCAGGTAAATAAGCTCCTGTCCTTATTCCAGGTATGATCAGTTTAAGAAACAGAAGGTGCTACTTTACATTTTTTTAAGTGAAGAGGTTAAAAATACAAAATGGCATATGGAAAGCACCTTTCACCTGCCTCTTCAGTGTTATCAGAACTATTTTTTTTAAGAGATGTAATGAGAACCAGAAGAAAGATTTTTGTCCCCAGAGATAAAAGATGCCAAAGTAGAATAAAACTGTTGATGTAAACAACACAGCAGCCAGAGATTCACAGATGTCATCCAGACCAAACACGGTCCTGAGAGGTGTAAACAATTTGCCCACTAAATGTGACCAAACAGAATCCAAATCCTCTGAAGTCTGAGCTCAGTAACTCTTGTGATTTTTGACCTAATTTTAGCATTTGTTATTCAAATATTCCTCATTTGTCTCATGTGGATACATGCAGCTGTAACATAAACCATGAAAGAGAAATGCCTAGTAAGAAATACCATTTATATACCTTTGCATAAAATGATCATAGCACGCATGTAGAAAATGGAGAAATGAAACTGGCTGTTACTTGCATAGAACACACAGGGCTTCTCAAGGGCTTATTTAGCTGAAACATCTACTAGGTCAAACCTGTTTTTTCCTTCAATATCTGACCTGCAGGACCCTCCAAAAAAGCGCAGAGCCACCTTTGTGTTATGAGCTCATCAGAGTCTCCTTATTTAACAAGAGGATTTCAAAACCCTACACTTGCATGATTACCACTGTAGGGCTACAGAAGAATATTTGGTCACACTGCCTCTCAAGAGAAGAGGACATTAGGCGCTTGGTCAAATTTAGCAAAGGTCACACACAAGGCTTCTTGGACACGTTTCCTCTGTTATGGACTACTTAAGGCACAGCAGCTTTCTCTAGTCAGCTATGAGAAAGCTTCATCCGATGGCACACCAAGACACATCAGTGCCCGCCGTCTCAAAAGGCTAACTGCTTGTGCTAAAGCTATCTTTTTTTTTAAAGCTATATCTATTGGAGCAGTTATTCCCAAATTGGAAGGACATGAGCTTCTGGAAGGGAGACACAGAAGGCATGGGGACAGAAGTGCCCACGCCTGCCCAAGGAGAGAAGATGGCAGCTCATGAGACCACTGTCCCCACACCTTCCCCACTGTATAGAGCAGAGCCAGTGGGACACGGTACAGCTGTCCCATGACCCAGTGCAGGGGAGAACAGAGGCTGAGGCTGCCCATTCACTAGGGTGATCAGAACCACCTGCTCTCGCTCTGAAGCTGGGCAGGACATCCCAAGAGAAAGGAAGGAAAGGAGGTCTCCTTCCTACAAGCTTTCTTTTTAAGTTTCCTAAAACAATGGAGTGCAATAGGTGGAACCCCGCAGCCACCAGTGCCACCAGCTCCACACAACTAAACACACACAAAATTATCCTAGGGCTTCTCACACACATCAGGGCATAAGCTACAGATTGAGCACTGGGCATATGTACCACGCAGAAGACACAGGGAACCAACCTATCACAGAAAAGGAGAGGAACAGTTTTTAAAAGTTCGGAAAACCTGCATGCTGTCACAAAGCCTACCTTAACACTTACTCATTATCAAGAAACAAAAGGGTGACAAAACCAAACCCCATTCATGGCTGATGGACACGAGCCAAATAACGTTGTGCATTCACAGCTGTGTCACTACCTGACTGCCCAGCAGCAAATTCAGGCAAGACTGGGGTAGCTGTCCCATTGCGCCTCAGAGAGGTGCAGAATAACTGTGCTTATGCATAAGCTGCAGGATGCAGAAAATTCAGCTGCATGGTTGCTTGAGGAGGAGTGACAATCTGGCAAATTGATCACACCATCATAGGCAGATCCACCCATACCAGAGAGTATGACTGACTATTACAGGAAGGCAAGCATATTCCAAACCAAGGCTCTCTGTGTCATGCTGCGTACCTAAATTTACCTGGAGAACTGAACTAACGCAAGATTGGGATAATCTGGATAGTGTAAAACCTACGTAAAGGGGGCTGTAACATCACTCAGAATGAATGCCAGCAATGCTATCCATTCTGGAGAGCAATAATACTTAACATCTTTAGTGCTAAAGGAAACTTGTGAGAGACCCAACACATGCCAGCTTGCATGGCCAAGCACATCACATGCTGCTGTATTCCTAGCAACGTTAACCCACTTCTTCATAGATGAGAGTTGGAAAGACAAGCATGATTAGAAGTTTTAACAGAAACAAAATGATCCGGGCATAAACTGTATTTGTCTGGGACCAGATTGCCACTTTCAGTCTGTTCTCAAGAGGGAAGAGGTACCCCGTCCCACATTTCCGAGGGCAACAAACCAAGCTTCTCAAGGCTCCCTTGATTCCTTCCGTCCCCAGTGAAGAGTAGCCAAATTCATTCATTTTCACTGAGCTGGAGTAGCTACTAAAAGCAGCTCCCTTCCCCTGCTTCATTCACTTGTTTCCATGAGGTAGTATTGGGACAGTAGTTGCTCTGGTCACAATTTACCCTGGTGTCGAAGGAAGTTCTCATGGGCGCGGATTTACAGGAGGGTTAGCCAACCTCATTAATATGAGCTACTAAAGCATGCACTGTCCTTTATCCCACGTGAGATGCACCCACTTGACTGCACAACATCCTCCCTCCAATTCACCTGAGGATTGCATCTGCCTCTACTTCTGCTCCTTGTTTTCCAGGAAGGTTAACAGCAGCAATAATCAAATTCTTAGGGGACACAATTACTACTTCATCTGACATTTGCTAAAACACAGCAATTACAGTGAAAACACTGTACTCCCCACTCTGGAGAGGCAGTAAATCATACCTGCATTATGAGAAAGTTCATAGTAGCGAAGCTGACTTCAGCCCTGTCAGGAAAGTCCAAAAATGCTGACACGGAAAAAGTTGAGATTAGGCCCTTCATCCACCATTTGTGATATAACTTAGCATCTAATTCTCTTCTCGCAGATCTGCTCTTCCATTAAAACATAAAAGGTACACTTGGCCCGCTGTGCGGGAGCAACATATAATTCCCTAACTGTAGCAAATTGGTACTCTTTTTAACAGTCCTAAAAGACAAACTTGGGAAAAACACCTCCACATCTTACTCTAGCTCGTCTCCCTTGGTGATTTGTCCGAACTATGTCTAGCAGCCATCAATGCTACTTACAGACATCAGGCTTTCTAACGCTGCAATTGCATGGTCAGAGAGCGACACAGAGTGAAACAATTGGCTGGGTGTCAGATACCTACAAAGCAAAAAAACATGCTTAATATGCATGCACACAAGGGACATGCTGCTGCTGCTCCTCCCCAGCAGAGAAGCATCCTTAGATGCGGTTTAATGAAAGAGAGGCCGCAGCAACAAAGCCTAAGGACTGCCTGACTTCAGCTACATGCTGGCAGCCTGTTTTTACTGCCATCTTACAAATGCTCTAAATCTGGCCTGATCCAGGTTTTCAAAATGCACACAAACACAAACCTCCTCTGCTTCCATTTTCGGCTAAAGAAAAATACACAGGACAGAGGGGGTATGTAACAGCCTCATTAGCTGATAGCTCGCTATACAGCTCCAGCTAGCTGCATCGGCATGCGAGGGAACTGTGTGCCACAGCACAGGAGTACAAGTGGCAGAAGGTAGCAAAGGACTGCTTAAACTAGCAATGCCACCAAAGCATCCACACTTTGAAACTACGTTTCCCCGACAGCTCAAGGCAGAGCACTCAGGAAATGCTTCTCCTGAGAACGCATGCCAGAAAGATTATGCTGGATACAAAACTCCACTATGGATGAAACCAAAACCTGAGAACAGGGCTGTGCTATGAGCAAGGCAGTTTAGAGAGTCAACTTAACACATCCATGCTGGTTTTAAGAATCTGCCCTGTATTGGAACACGCCAGACCTGTCAGTCATTGAAAGCCTACCCTTTGCACCTTAAGAGCCCCAAGTCTTGTTATGCAGAAAAGGAAGATTCCGATGATTCTGGGTCACACAGTAGGTGAAAAGAGCAAGCCTACTCTGCCCCCCTCCTTTTTTTTTTTTTTTTTTCAAAAGACTTTGCAAGAACAGTGTAACACTGTCTTTTCCCTCAGATAGCATAATAGGAAACCAGGGATTTTTAAAGAGTAGTCACTGAACTCATCGTAAGGAAACAGGCTTACATAAACCTGACCTACGTGGACTGAAGCCAAGACATAAAGGTTAGCTTCTTAGTAGCACTCCACTAAACTACATCCTTAGGACACTGCATGTAAATTACTTGACAGAATGGGGAATATGAAGCCACGTGAGTGGAAACTTGGCCAGGCACCTGAAATGCTTACTCTTGTTCCCAGAGATTATTTGCAGAGAAATGGCAAAAGCAAACAAAAATCATCAGCTACGTGAAGAAAGTGAAAAGGCCCAACAGCAGAGACAGACAGACTGCAGAAAGACTAAATGTTTGGGAAAACACCAAAGTCTACGGCAACCAGGGAATTCTGGCATAGAAAAGACTATCAAACAATGCTCTACCTGGAGTTCTGCATGTCTTCCACAGTGCCGTGTTTACTTACCCTAAGTGAAACGGCTGCTGCCAAGGAATGCTCTGTGTGCTCTTTATGTACTCACACTGCAAAGGCTTGTATTTTAAGCTGAACCATATAGAAAGCAAGATATAATTTTATGTCACTGCATTTGAATCACCAGAGGTGAGCACGGTAGTACGGACAGTCAGGCAGCCCACCCTGTCGATGTAGTTGCAAGACTTCCTTAGCAATATATAATAACAGCGCATAACTTGATGGAAAATAATAACGGCAACACTGCTCTTTCACCTTTGGTTATGGCTTTCACTCCACCCCCTGCTCTCTCCTCCCACTTTAGTAACAGGGATGAGGAACAGCACTGGAAAATTGCAATAACTGTCTCATTATCTTAATCACAACATTGTTTTCTAGAATTTTCTCTTTCTAAAATATGTACGTTTAGTGGGCTTTTAATTTCAACAGTTTACTGTGACTCTCAAAAATTTGTTTTTGAAGTGTAAGAGCTGGTCCATGCTCGAGAACTTGCCAGATCGTGGATTACTTGCCTCTCTGGCACGCACACACAGACTGCCTTGCCAGTGAAATAACGTCAGTAACCAGCTCAGGTTTACTTACATACAAACAAAAATAGACCTTCCCAAGATTAGTGGCAATGGAGAGGGGTCCACACCCCGTGTAGCCTCAGCATGATACCCTACTTAACTCTGTGCAATCCGTTTAAGTTTTGTGCTGAAGTGTGCACTGCACACACAAAGCACGTTTGAAGCCCCACAGCCCCAGCACCGATCTTTCTTGTCCCACATTAACTGCTGATATATTTGTGCATACTAAAGCTAGAATGCCAAAAAACACAGGATTTACACTTGCCACTGGACCCCGAGTCACAGTTGTGCGCCATACTCTGCGGCACTCCACGGGCGGGGAAGACTCATCTTCAGCACAGTGCTCCACAGCAAGCCTGAGAGAGCTCAGCAGGAGTTAGGTAGACCAAGCCACCTATTTTAATCAGGCAATATTCTCAGGCAATTTGACCAAGTCTGGTGCTGTTCAGGTGGTTCTGAACTGTACAGATGCACATATACTCTCAACAGAACTGGGAGACTGCTTTGGCTGTGACCCTACAATTTTCAATGGTCATTTTAGGCCACCCTACCTGAAGGGATATATCCATACCTAGCAAGGAGCAGCAACACAACACACACTATTTTGGAAGCTGCAGAAGCGTCAGTGAGTTTTGTGACGTGCCAGTGTGCCTTCCCCAAGAGCAAGTTTCACATCTGCAATCTCTTGCACTTGGACAGTCAGTTTTTCCCCAGGTCCATCACATTGCCTATGTGGATCCCCCTCCCCAGTGCCTAGGATAAAAATTATTACCTATTTCAGTATTACAGTTAGGTCTCATTTAAAGTCAAAAGGAGTTAAAAGTTCTGGAAGAACCTGAGTTTTTATCTCTGATAAAATCAGCCGTTCTTTCAGAAACCAGTTCCTATGAGGTCAGGGACTTGCAGTAGCCTGCACATACTTTCCTGCTGCATAACTGCTATTGAACTGCTGCCGTATTTCAATTAGAGAACACGTCCGTGCTACTTAGAAAGGTTCTTGACTGCTGTTAAAGCATTGCTCTTGTGCTGAAAAAGAGAGAGACAGAAAACACAACTGTTAATACCTTAATCAGTTACTAGAATTGCCTTCAGAGAAACTTTACACACGTTTTCAGCTACCCAGGAATCCTACATTCTAGAAATTGGTTTAAACATGTGCCTCACCACAATTCCACAAAGTCAACGAACACTTAACAAGGAAGACAAAACCCTTTCGCTCTTACCTGTATTTTTCTGAACTCTCTCCCCTTAAGAACAAAGTAGCAGCATTTAAAAACAGATCCTTTTCTCCATCTCGTTATCATTAAGAAACTGGGAAAAAATAACACCACATACAAGTATTTACATGGCATATAAAAGTAATATCTCAAGCTGAATTCACTCTCCTTTTACCTTGCAGCCCCAGTAACTCTTCAGGAAGCAGCCCTATGTAAGCCATTACATATCAAAAACCTTCACAGCATTTTCTTCAGCTTCTAAAATCAGAGCAGTAATGTGAGGGTAAAGTAGTTTACCCCTCTCCCTCATTATAAACTCTAAAAGGGCAACGGTCTGTGGCAGTTTCTCAACTCTCAGTTCTCTTTCCCAGCCCATCTCCAACGACCCCATGCCCCAGCCAGAAAGCATGGGCAGCTCTTACAAAGATTTGTGGCTGGGATAACCAAGAAAATATTGTAAAATTCAGTTTTATGTGCCAAGACTAGCACAGTTCAAGTCAGTCATCGTTATTAGGCCTTTAAAGATCATCCTCCACTTTCTGTTTGAGCGCATACAAATTTTTAACCCAGCTAGTTCACATGGTAAGAAGGACTGACAACTAATATGCAGGAATTCTGAAAGCACCAATATTTTAACAGCAGTTTGCCACGGTGCACTGACATGGATGTTGATACCAAGACACCAAACACATTAAAAATTACATGTTATCACATAGCATATTTACACAGTTCAGGTGAATCGTAAGGTTCATCCTTTTTATGTCACCTTTAAGCTCATAAACTTACGTATTTCTCATCCAGATTGTCGACCTGTTTAGCAGGCTATCCAGCACAGGCTGAATTTGTAACAGCTAACCCCCTGAAGTTTTCATAAAAAGTGAGTAACTTGCTAGAATGAAAGCTGAGATATGAAGCCAGATTCCTACATATGACCTTGGCTAGCCAACTTGAGAAGACAAACAGAGTAGTTACATTTTTTTACAGTATCTTCATCCCTCCCATCCCTCTCGCAGGAACGTCCAACCTCTTCCAGTGATTTTTCAGGTCGCTAGGTGGCTACTTACCTAAGACCCATGTGACTAAAATCACTTTAGCAGCAGACAACCTGCAGTTTCTGCAGTGTAGGATGCTGACCTAAGTACAGACAGATGTAACAGGATAGCAGCCTCACGATCATATGCAGAGTGGATTAAGTTTTCAAAGACCACATTAAAATGGACTATACCTATGTATATAAGAAATGCCAAAGGCGGGCCTTCAGTTCTGCAAATCACCTTAAGTCTTTTTATATACAGTGTTGAGATAACAGGTATTTCTGCAACAGAGCTGTAGATTGCTTGTATACCTTTTGTGGATCTTGCAATTAAGACCTGTTGAGTCACAAAACACACTCTGACAGTAGCATTTTCAAAGTGAACACTGTGATGAGAACGTGCAGGCTTGAAACATATAGCAGGTTTTATCATTAGAATCTGAGAAGTTGTAATCTATGAGCAAGATTCATACACTGATAAACATTAGACACCCCTGAACTGATGAAAGTGACCTATAAAACATGCAGAATTCTATTGTACTTGTCCCTTGCCTGATGCATTCACTTGGACAGTCGCTTAAGTCATTTCATTATTTCCACGTTTCAACACGCAATAGCAACTCTCAGCTGTGATATCAGCAGCATCTTCAGATGAAGAAACATTGAAAGAAATAATTGTATTTGTAAAGCAGGATGTTTCCATGCCACCTCCCCAGAGCAGGAGCACTGCGAAAGAGGTGGGGAGGAAGGAAATCAATGCATGTGAAACAAACTGTTGCTTAAGCAGTTTAACTACAAAAAGGTAAACAGTCATTAGGTTAGTAGACTTGTCTTGGATAAAAATTTAGCATTCTTTTTTTTTTTTCCCAGTTAGCCCCCCCCCCCCCAATTATGCCATCACAATACTTACCTTCCTTATTTGACAAGCAGTTGCATGGATATAAGGATAGGCTTTAAGTCTAAAATTCCCCCCTCCAAAGAAACCAAACTAATCCAAAAGATAATTCATCCACACTAGCAACACAGAATAAGAAAAGATATAAAGGAGGCTATATTCTGTAATTCAGAATTATTCAAGTACATGCAATTATTTACTGAAAGTTATAGGAGCAAAAATTTGTTATACTCTCTTCACTCCTTTTCTCCAGGAAGGAATATGGCAAAATTACATAAGCTGCGGTGGGGAGGGAAGGGCGGCTATGTAATTTGCAGCTCCTCTCCCAACAAAACGGATATTTTATGGGAGAATGAATGGGGAAGGCAGAGAACTAGTCTTTCCTGATTTCCCCCCCGCTTTTTTTCCAAACTGGAGGGAATTACATTTAAGGAGATGGAAGAACTGGATGTACCGCTGCAGTTTTAACAAATCTTGAAAGACTGCAAAGGTTAGGTTAAGTAATTGCATCACAGAACATTTCTCATGAAAGCCTCCCTCCACCACGTTGACCATACCATGGGGTAAACAGGCTACTTCACCCGTGCACTACTACTGCAAAGCATTATCCTGAGCAAGTGCACTGTACTTACCTCCAGGAAAGGCCAAAATATTTTTAAAATAAAAGCCTATAACCCCCTTTTCCTAAGCTATTTTACCGCTATAGGACTTTAGCCAAGACTTCCAGGAAGACTACACAACTCTTCTTAACTCCTTTCAGTGAAGTATCTTCTTGAGGCAGTAAAGCACTTTATTGCACAGGAATGAGCTGTAACTAGAAAACACATTATTTCACATACCATACAAGTCTTCACTGAATGCCTGCCCTCCCTCCCAGTTTTGAGGGAAGATCCTCCACACGCTATTTCAGCATTAGCAAAGGAAGTCCGATCTTCTTAAAATTAACAAAGATTTAATTAATCTCCAGTTTGACAGAGGGATCATTTCCCATTCCCCAGCAGGGAGACTAGCATGAGCGGGGATGACTGTTCAGTCCAAGAAACTGCAACTCACAAGCCTCCCTCCTCCAAGCCAGCCAGAGGGTATGCTGGACTCAAGGGCTTGCGGAGCCCAAGACAGCATCTGAGAGCTGATCAGCAGGCTAAGCCATGCCAACACTGGGCAGCTGATGCAGGAAACAAAACACGGAAGCGAGTTAGCTCGGCTGCTTCAGCACCATCTTGAAAGGTCTTATGCCATCTCATCCATTCCATCAGCTCCTTCGAGCCAACTTAAGTCTCTATAGTTCTGGAGCGGACAGCATTACAGTCTACAGTGCGGGGATTTGCCTTTAGGACGGAGCAAAGCTCCTCCTGCTGGGCACAATACGCCACACCTGACGAGCGCCGAGTAAGATCAGCGCACTTACTACACATCAGACCGAAGCCACAACCCCTGAAAGAGCCCAACAGCGGCAAGCACAGGCCATCCCCTCCTTCGCGAGAGGGGCACGTCGCGGCCTGCGCCCTGCTCGGGGCCTCCCCCACCACGCCCTGGCCAACAGTTCAGCCCTGCTCTGCAGGGCTCTGCATTATCTGTCACTGAGAGGAAGATTTCGCCTATTGTTAATGTAGATTGGACTTTTGGTAAAAATTAAATATCAAAGAACATATTTAAAGTAAATTCACTTAGTTGCATTATTAATGTGAGACTATTAGCATTTATTGCACAAATGTATGTATTGATGCATATACATAGTCACATTTTGTTAAACAGGTTAAAAAAAAAAATCATGTTAGTTCTCTGTATTGGACTATTATAAATTTATTTTGGTGTAATGGGAATCAGAACCTGTCCAGGTGACCTTTCTAAAACTATTCACTATAGTGGCACATTGCTGGCCTGATGATGCCACAAGAGTCAATATTCATCCATTCATGGAGAGTGGTTCTTGTTACTGCCTGTGACTGATTCAGCCAAGGCTGTATCTTGGTAGACCCTGAAGATTTTTCCCTCCTAAGTAGAGGCACTCTGAATTCTTTTCATATCCTCTTGCTTCTGAAGGGCGTACTCCTATCACTCTTCTAGCCAGAAGTTTAAAGGATTGCTTCTGAGGTCCTGTCACTGGCGATTCGTGACAGTCGACTTGTGTATAGTGCTCATTGACCCCCACCCCGCTGGTCAGTCAGTTCACTTTGACTCCAGGGCTGAACTAGTGGTTCCAGGTCTCCTGGCATTAGGTATGTGACCAGAAAGTCAAGTCGTGAACAGATGACCCCTGTAAATAGTTTATGTAAATGAAGGATATCATAAAGAGCATTTGGATCATGGCAACACTTGTCATCTTGTTGCTTGATCTTTGGTCTCTGTTGTGTCAAGTGCAAAATCATTTTACTCTCATCCCAGAGTTTTCAAGTCAGTGCCCCGCAATTGAGAAGATGATGATACCAAGCTGTGCTCAGCTTGTGCTACCTTGCAAATTGTCTAGTCTCTTGTGAATAAAATGAAAACTCTTGTCATTTTGGATCAAATCTTGGCTTCAATAAAAGTGCAGAATGGCACGTTCTTACTTTCATGGTGCTGGGATTTTGCTGAAAGTTGTGGAAAGGACTTGACTGTCTTAGCATATAAATTGAAACCTTCACCATACAAGGTTTAATCTTTAGTGGATATAATAACAGTAGATGAGAATATTGGAAAAACTGTCTCATGGACACGGCCTCTGGATACTTCAGGCAGAGAAGATTCAACACAAAGGGTACTCTCAGCAGAAATGTTTGTTACATTGCCAGATGGTAAAAGGTAATTTGGAAAGAAAGAATAAAGATATATTCCCTACCCCAAGGTGCTTTCATTGTGTTTTGAATATAAGATGTGTAAAGTTTTAGATGCAAGTGTTGGTGCTGGCAGTGGCTTAGAGCTGTGGTTTCTTTCTTTCTTTCTTTTCTTTTTTTTTTTTTTGGTATGTTTGTTGGTTTTCCCTATTTCTCGTTGTTTCTGTCAGGTGCCTTTCAGATCTCTGACGTGGACAGTGCTAGGATGTCAGTGCAAAACACTGGCTGTATTTCTTCTTAGTGCAAAACATCACGATTGCGTGTTTCCCCCTCTATGTTACCGCTGCAATTGCTTGTGCTTCGCGAACGTCTAATTTGGCGATGCTGGCAACGGTGGCAGGGGGACGTTTGCACGCAGGAAAGTCCTGCTCATCTTGGTTGTCAGCATCTTCCAGTGCCCTTTAAAGTTAATCCGCTCCAAAGCCTGGCTTGGAGCAACCTCTGAGAGCAGCAGCAGAGCGTAAGGCTGAACTGATATATATATATATATGTATATGTGTGTGTGTGTATATATGTGTATATATATATATTTTTTTTCCCTCCTCTGCTGCATGTTTGCTTCTGCACCTCTCTTGTGTAACCGACACTGTCTTGTCCTCTGGCAGAGTTTCCTTGGGATGGCCGCGCTAAGGGACGGGTGACATGAGTGCAGTGTGGACAATGCAGCTCCCTGTTTCTTCTGATCAAAGTGTTTGTAAACACCAGCACAATGCTCGGGGAGGCCGGGTGCGATGCTCAGCGGTTTATATCCTCTCCTTTCGCCAGCGAACTCCTGCGGTTCCTGCGTCCTGACCTCCTCCTGGCATTTTTTTTTTCTGTTCTTTTTCCTTCCTCCTCCTTTGTTACTGACTCAAAGGGGAGGAAAAACAGTGCGTGCAGTAGTCGCCTTTGTTGGGTTGGTCTTTTTGAGAAATTCTGATTTCCTGGAATGGCGTTTCTTCCTTTATTTATTTCACAAGGGAGAGAAGCAGTGACCTAATGTTGGGTTTCCCATTTTGGTTGCAGAAGGTGAAGTTCTAGAGCAGTGATTTTGTTAGCTAGGCACTGGAAGTGAAGCGATAGTTTGAAAGCCTGGTAGTCATTCTGGGGAATACTGATCCAGAAGTTCTGGAGAGCAAGCAGGGAACCCATGCCGAGGGGGTTTGCACTTGAAGAACAGTACAGTTTTTGTGATGTCCCTCTCCGATTCTGCGTTCATATTTAGTTATGTGTAGGTATCTTTTATAAATATATATTGGTATTTATGCTGATCTTATTTTTTTCAAGTTGTTATATTTGGTTGATTAGAAAGACTTCTGATAATGTCCCGTGCGCTAGCATTTTTCAAGCTATATTGCAGTACAGCAATAAGTGGATTAAACTTGTAGCTCAGAAATTTGCACTAATCATAAGACAAAGTTTTTGCCTTGCAGCAGCAAAAATACAGACACATTAAAAACAGGCCAAAGCTGCAAAGCTCAGGAGATGAGCGATTGCTGTGAAAAGGCAAAGACAAGCTCACAGGTCCTTCCTCTTGAGCTATTTAGGTCCTCATCCCGCAAAGACCTCAGTGCATGCTTTTACTGGCTTGATTCAAGAAGTCCCTGAGATGCCAGCGCGGGAAACTGGGAGACGATCCCAGGAATGTTATATATTTCCTCCGTTCTTCTCCTTTTTCCAGTGTCTTACTAGTGGCTAGCTCCTGAAAGGAGGTTCAGAGCTGGATTCTCTGAATCTCTGGTCTCTTGGTCTTACTCTCTCTTTCTCTCTCTCTCTCTATATATATATTTTAAAGCAGTAGTCCTGTTCTTAAGCGAGTTCAGTGTGTTACGTGTGATATTTATAAAGCCAGGAATCACGCCTCTGCAAGATAGTAAGCATTGGCTACATGCCCTAAATCGTATTAAATTGTCCCTATCCCAGACAAGTTGCAGAAGGAGGTTCCAGCCACCGCTAGTATACATCCCTAATATGTTGGGGGGGGGGGGGGGGGGGGGGCGTTTCCTCCCAAGTGTTGTTTTCTTCTCTACTGCAGCACTGAGCAAAGGGAGGATGTTGATTTTTTTTTTTTCTAGCCAAGGGTTTGGGGGGGTCTGGTGAGGAGATGGCACCTTCTGCAAGAAGGTACGAATGGAGAAGGCTCTGTTCAGAGGGACCTCTGAACAGAGGTCCCTCTTCGCCTCCTGCTTCACTAGCAGGCGACGGGAGGGAAAATGAGAACTGGGCATCTGCGAGAGCGTTGAACCTGTGCTTGTTTCTTTGCCAGCCTTCCTGCGAAGAGCTTTGCTTTGTGCAAACCCGTGGCAAGCCTGTGCTGCTGTTCCTCCTAGGCCAAGCTGCAAAGGTGGGAGATGCTAGTTGCTACCTTCGGTGGAGCCTTGTGGCTCTCCAACGCGAGCCAGGGCAGCTCCTACTTTTGCTTCTGGAGCTTCCCTCGTCCGTTCCTTGCTGTCACAGCTGAGTTTGCATCTGTCAGTCAGCAAAGTGTGGCGCTCATGGTAATTTTACAGCGTATCCTAGACAGGTGTATCTGCAGCTCTGCTTTTTTTTGTGGGTGACGGCTGGTGAGTGTTGGCTTTTTTATTTTTACCTAAAATATAGGTGAGCGAGGTGTTGTAATAGTTGGGAATTAGATCAGTTCCTGAGGAGAGGAACCTGCAGTTTAAATGCAAGCTTTGCTCTTCATACAGAAACAGGAGATGTGCTGGGACTATATTTATTAGGCTATAAAATATTCTGTGTTCCTGATGAGTTTCCAACACCAAAATCAGCAGCCCATTTAGACCAAGCTTGGAACAGGGATGATGAGCAGTAGCCCTGCTTTGGCTGAAGGACAGGCTGGATGACCCAAGACTTCTGATTTCATTTCTCGTTTCTGTGACCTCATTCTGCAGCAAGGCATTCAGCTCCCCACCAATCCATTCTGTCAATAACTGGCTAAATTTTATTTTTAATGTCTGCCTTACAGTGTGAAACAGTTCTGTTGTGTTTGTGATACATTCCTCATGTGCCTCCTGGTTGGTCTCTGCTTTAATCGTGAAGTTAAATTGGGGAAACTGTGTTAAATATTCCTCAGATGCTAATCTGTTGAATTCATTTGGGTAGAGCAGGAATTAACTTGCCCCTTAAAAATCATTGTCAGTATTTAAACACAATCAAGACCGTTTTAAAGCATGTCACTGTTGGAGTGGTCTCATAACTGATTTGTGGTACTCAACATCGGCCCTGAGCGTAGCGCGAAAGCAAAGTATTGGTGAGATTTGTGTAGTAATATTATTTGACTTCAGCCTGCGTAGATAAAATTATCAGAGCGGCTTGGTTGGGTTGATAGGTATTTAGGTTGCAAACAACTTGACTTAAATGCTATTTGCTGTCTTTCCTCTCCTGGAGCTGCTGCTCTCACTGTGCTACACTTCTTCTGTATGTTGATATGCGCTATTCTCTAATATACTTCAGACAAAACCTAAAACACCTCTTAAACTAACCTGGCTGTGTGGTTTTTTAATCTTTTTTATTTTCTTTTTTTCCAGAGATTAATTAGGGAATAGTTGTACAGAGGAAAAAGCCTCCAGTAAGGTCTTATATTGCTCCAGCTAGATAGACCCTTACTGAAATCTGCTACTGTCCTGTAAATATCAAAGGATATCCTGCTTATTTTCTTTTACTTTAGCAGAAATACTTTCTTTTAGGAATTGCTGAAGTAAAAGTTGACTGTATTCTTTCAGTATCCCAATAGTGGGTGTGTTTTTTTCCTTTTTTAAACTTT